CAGGAAAAGATCAGGAACTACACAAGAACTTCAGTATTCTCAAACCAACAGATTCTGATAAGATTATCTTTCTAAGGAACTGGCAGAAGCATTATAAATAACTGCTGATAATTCTCATAAGGACAAATGGAAAACAGGATCCCTATCAGGTGAACCACCAATTTCCAGAAAGACACTCTAATTGATAAACAATTGATAAACAAACACTGACAACTTCATGACAATTATGCACTGGAAAATGTTTTCCAGCTAAGGCTATGAAGCCCTCATCACCAGGGAGGTTAAAAATATTTGCTATTTGTCAGCAATGATCAAGGTAAAAAACCCTTACCCAGGGAAACAGGTTAAGGCTTGATGATATAGAAAAATATTGAAGTATAACAGAAACATATTGCATGAAATTAAAAAATTTTGAATATTCCTCCCTTCAAATTGGATCTATATCCTATTCAACAAAAGACTATTTTTTAAAGCTAGCTTTCCTCAAAATTCCTACAGTCTCAAAATGACAGATGCATAGAATTGGCAATGCTTTCATATTTAATAATTCGATAGAAATACATGAGGAAAAGCTGATTATAATTTTATTGCATTGAAAAGTTATTGCTTTTCTATGTAACAGAAATGTTGTTTAAGTTTGCAAAAGTGCAATAAGGAAGAAAAAAAACCAGAAAAGTATAATGTGGTATCTAACAGAAAAATCTAACCACTGTTGATTGTAAGAAATAACTGATTTGAGAGACTACAAATAAAGCAGTATAATTAACTCAAAGAAAATGGGGGTTGGACTAGATGATCTACAGAGGTCTCTTCCAATCTCAATAATTCTGTGATTCAGTAATTACAAAAGTATTAATGTAGTTTTGTTCCATAGTCTTCAACTAATTAACACTTGCTTTGTTGCATATTACTATTTTTAAGGTAAATATTATAATTTGGGCCATGACTAAACTCTGATATTAAACTAATATTAAATAATTATATGATGCTCTCACAAAAGAGATTAAACTAATTCTCCCATTTTCCACCTTGGGTATACCTTGCAAAATAAAGTGAAGGTGATACATTGAACGGTATGATCTCTCCTCTTGCAGAGTCATTCAGAAGTGACTCCACTTTACAGAAAGCAGAGATAAAGCTTTGTCTCTTTCTTTGCAAAGAGGCAGGGGAAGCCCCGAAGGACAATGTGGTTATGCTGAAGTAACACTAAACATCAAGTTCCAGTATAAAGAATTATTTATCTTTTGAAGACAAACATTTAGTAGCAAATGCTACGTAGTGAAAAAGGGTAAATAAAACTTCTTGGCAATACACATACTTCCCCATCCATCAAAACCAGTACTTCTTTACTGTGAGAACCATGTGGATACTGCTGGAATCTTGTCTGATATTGCTATCTGAGCTTCACAGGCCCTGTCACAGTGAGAATCTGGCAGAACTAAAAGATGTTTTGGTTTATCCCCTCTTTGGAACTAGTGGCTTCATGGGTGTTCCTCCACTGGACTCCACAGCTCTGGGTCACAGGAGACAACCAGCAGGAAAGGTGTTATCATAGAACCATAGAAAAGTTTATGTGTTATACAGATGCATTTAGGGAAGATGATCATCCTTGAAATTCTGACCTACTGAACATTCGTACACCAAGTGTACTTGATGTTAATCAGTATGTGACTGATCAGATTACATCAGCCACGTGGCAAAGATAGTAGCACAATACACAACCTTCCTCAGCCACTAGTAGAAAGTATCAGGAAACTCTGGGCATGGCTAATGGAAGTGAAGCTTTTGTAGGAACTGATAGCTTAGGTGCATGAGTGCAGGGGAGAAAGGATAAAATGTGGGGAATGGTATGTCATCCCCAACACATCCCTCTCCAAGCTTACATGGCCAAGGTCTCTGCTAATATACCTAGCTTCTCTCTTCATATTCCAATAAGTATACCACTAGTTGGTAACACATACAAAAAAAATCCTTTGAATCACAGAATGGTTTGGGTTGGAAGGAAGCTTAAAGATCATCTAGTTCCAACTGCTCTTTTGTGTTCAAAGAACACAAAAGTCTTTATCACGACTAAAACATTTTGATGAAAGGGTCTCAAGCATGTTTCTCTACTTACATATAGCAACTCGTGCAAAAACAACTAGTGTTTGCTTTGTTTCAAATGAGACCTTATCAGTGTCATCATAATTGCTAGAAGGGACCATGGGGAAAAAAAACCCAAACCTTTTCCAATGTGAAAGTTGAAGCTGATTCCTCAATTAATTCTTGTATATAAGCCCAAACACTTCAGATTTACAAGTAACTTTAGATGAGCAGTGCCTCCTCTTGGTCTGCTGTTCCACCTATATTGTGCTTCTTTTTCAAATAATAAATACAACTTTGGAAACACATAAAATATCTATATCATCACCAGGAGAGAGTTAAGGGAAGAAAACCAACCTTGTTTTCATGGAATCACAGAATCATGGAATTTAAGGGTTGGAATGGACCTTACAGATCATCTAGTCCCAACCCCCTGCCATGGGCAGGGACACCTCCTCACTAGATCAGGTTCCTCAAGATCTCATCCAGCCTGGCCTTGAACACCACCAGGGTCAGAGCAGCCACCACAACCCTGGGCAACCTGTGCCAGTGTCTGACCACCCTTACAGTAAAAAACTTTTTTCTAATATCTAACCTAAACTTCACCTCCTTCAATTTGAATCCTTTTACCCCTTGTCCTATCATTGCAGTTCCTAACAGAGTCCCTCTCCAGCTCCCTTGCAGGCCCTTCAGATATTGCAAAATTGCTATGAGGTCGAAAGCCTATTTTAAAAGGCTGCTAATAAAAAACAAGCATAGGACCCAGTATTACAAATAACCCTAACTCCTGTGCTACACACTTCATCACAATGACACCACGTTAGCTACCACACTGCAAAATGCAAAGGGATTTATACTTATGTATGGTTTCAGTCCGATCTGGAAAAGCTGTGAAACAACAAACTCTAAACTACAATTTTGGTTTCTGTGTTGTACCTTCATGAAAGACCTGCCCTAAAGTACAACCATGTCACCGAGATCAAAAAGCATTCTCAAAAAACCCTTTGAAGTCAAAGGAAGAAGTATATGCACATTTGTAACTTGAAAAGTACACACAAGCAGAACAGCACTGCATGCCACAGTTAACCACAGCAGAGCTGAGCTCACATGAGGCAGAACATCCAGTGGGAGGGAATTTAAGCTAAGTCAGGTGAAAAGAAAAAGTTATCCTCCCTAAACCATCAGTGTTACTTTCTGCTCTGCTAAAGTTTCCTAGTCCTGGCCTTCATTTGTATCATCTGTATTGGAAGTATATAAGATCCGACAAGATCAATGTCAATGTTATTACAGGAGTAAGCCAGAATAATGCAATAATTGTATCACTCCAAGTCTCTGTTTCAATAGCAAGGAAAATATCAAGTTCTTCAATAAAAGAAAAGCAGTACAGGACCAGCTAGAAATAAAAAGGAGAAAAACACATCTACTTGAAGAACAGCTTTTAAATTGAAAACATTTGAGATGTAAGTACATGTGTTCAGAATCTGCAGACAGAAACAAACAACATTAGCTAACAGAAAGTAGCTAACAGTGAAGCAGAAAAATAAAGCCAAACTAGTCCTGCTCAGCCAATGGCAAGTAATAAAGGTATTTGCTAAGATGATCCATCTCTGTCCAGCAGGTTATTTTGAAAACTAATAGAGCAAGAAACTCTAAGAACTTGCTGAAGCTGAATTCAGAGGGAAACTCCTGAAACAAATCCTGCTACCTGTGTCTTCAGACTGCATTACGGAAGGTGGATAAGGCAGTGCAGTGCCCAAGCTGGTATGTTCTACTAAAGTTATAGTAAAAGGTCCAGTTTTACAGCCATCAATCTTGACAGTTTTAAGAGCAAAATTCACAACCTGATGGCCTTACTTTAATGGACATTTCTGTAAACAGACAGTGAACTGCTGAGCTAAAACTAACCCTTTGTTCGACCATTTAAAGAACTCTATTTCAGAAGGGTAAATAAGGTTGGGAATGAACAGTCAACAACACATAATAGCCATTTTTTCCAGTCTATAATAATTCTGGAACTGTGGCACAGGTTTTTCAGACACATGACTACATCCAAATTGAAGCCATCCCTTGGTGCACAAAAAATTCAAGGTTTACTGCACTAAGCAATACAACCAAACTAACCAGGGCACTCACCTGGAATAAGACATTCTGGATCTAGTCCTGCTCCAAGGACAATTTAAAACATTTATGGAATGACACTGCAGTAGACATTGAAGACACTAGAGTCTTGGGGATACATCTTTCCAGGTATTACCACCATTTGTGTGGATGGTTTATGTGACATTCATATCAAGTTAAGGCAAAACTGTAACTATCTCCTATCAACAACAAAAATTTCTTACTGCCACAGGCAATTTGTTTCATTCACTTTCTGCATTGATTCACCAATTTGTACCCAATATAATCCTTGTGATTGATTATTTCTAATGCTATGTTTTCATCTCTGTCCAGGAATGTCTAATTTATTCTCTAAAAACACCCTCAGCATCAGCCAAAAAAGTTAGTCTCAAGAGGTAAAAATAATAATCCACTTACTCTAAAGGAAATAAACCACAAGCTATTAAAAAAATTAATAGAACCTCACTGCTTGAATATTGTCTTACATAAACACCTAGAGAGTCTGAGAGCAGTTTCCTTGCAGCAATTTCCATGTTCAAGTGCAACATGAAACATTAACTTGCTCAGTGATGTAACACAGAAAACTCTTACTTGAGCAATGGAGGACCAAATATAATGAGAGCTGTAAAATATTAAAAATATACAGAGTAGAAAATTAACATAAATTTTAATTTCCAAAATGTAAAATGCCACTGAGGATGTTCCATCCCAACTTACACTCGAAGCATGCAGTGGCAAGAATTGTTTTTGCCCAAGTGAAGGTGAACATCCAAGACTTCTAGATTGTCTGGTTTCCAAGTATACTTTTTAAGTGGTTTTTACTTTTCCTGTGATAGTCTATAAGCATTACAAACACCCATTTTGTGAATATTACTCTGTAACTTAAGTTCTATTAAGAGAACTTAAAAATCCCAAACCAAACACGCTCAGTTTTATTTGGGGGGGGAAAAAAAAGCAAGCCCAAAACTCAAACATCAAACAACTGTCAAACAATATTATTGAAGATTAATCAGAAATCTCTTTTATATGATGCTATCTTTAACACAGGACACAGCTGTGTGAGACACTCCTTATCTCTGATCCTTCAAAGATCTTCATTGCATGCAGTTGTTATATTTAGTCTTAGAATACTCTTAAATGACAACAAATAATTTCTTTGCCCAAAACTCAAACATCAAACAACTGTCAAACAATATTATTGAAGATTAATCAGAAATCTCTTTTATATGATGCTATCTTTAACACAGGACACAGCTGTGTGAGACACTCCTTATCTCTGATCCTTCAAAGATCTTCATTGCATGCAGTTGTTATATTTAGTCTTAGAATACTCTTAAATGACAACAAATAATTTCTTTGTGTT